TCTATCTCGACAGCGAAATATGCTGGTGAGACTGCAAAGCAGCCCCGCAAGTGCAGCCGTGAGGCTCGTTGATCTTGAAGCGACGATAATACGCTCCAATGGGCGCGTGGCCAGTTATACACCGGCAAACGCGGGCGAACTCAGTAATACTGTGTCCGAATGTTGAGAGCCAAGGTCCCCCATTGAGGTACAATGGCTGTAGCGGCCGCCCGTCAGGCTGTTGAAGCTCTAAAAATTCAGAGCCTCGGTAGGTTGGATCTTGGAAAGTGGAGCTCCACGAATCCAAGACTGAGTGCGCTCGAGAACGTAGCGTGTCTATGGAGTTGTCCGCCTTACGACGTCCAACCCTGACTTTGAGCTCTGTGACGTACTTGTGTGCCTCACCATGGATGTCCCACCGCAGAGCAGAAGGGACGTAGACGAAGGTTACGCGGCGGAGATCGTCCGCCTCAAACCACTCTTTAAGAACGCGACAAACTGACAGGCTAAAAGCCTGACCAGAATGCACGCCGGGGTCGACCGCTCTATGGGCTGAGCCCATAGAGTCAGTAAAGACCATAATATGTTGGCAGTTTGCCTGCTTGACAGCAAGGCGCACTGCGCACGAGATGGCATTGAGTTCCGCATCTGGGGTGGTAACTCTGCCAGAGACATAGCGGGTCCTCTCGAGCTCGCGATGTCCCTTGTAGATTATAGCAGCCGAAGCCGCCTGATACTGGTTGGACTGAGGGACAGAGCCATCAGTTGCAGCCAGTACTGTTAGTGGGTCAGCCCTTGCTTTCGCAATGAGCTCGTCTAGATATGGGCGCCTATCCTGGCCAGGATCACGCTCGTCAAAATGGAGACGGTCCGCATAGCGGTCCAGTAACCGGTCGCCTGGACGAGCTTCGGGCGCAAAGGGCTCGAAGCTCTCAGTTAAGGTGTGGACGCGCTCGTCCACTTCCATGACAGTGCTCTTGACTTTCCCCCGCATGGCTGGGGTCATCAAGGCGGCAGAGCGAGCGTGTGGTGCGGCTCGCTTGAGGAGTCCCTCGCCCATCATAGAGCGGAGGGGGTGAGTGTCTGAGAGGGTAGCGATGCGATACACTGCGCGCGTCGCCAACTTCTTCAGCATGAGATGGACGGGGATGAGGCCAGCGAGGGCCTCAAGACCGCCTGTGGGTGAGGTGCGGAAAGCACCCGTGATCCATAGAGCAGCTTTTCGCTGCATCCGTTTTAGCTGGTTCATCGCGCCCTTATTGCGGGCGCCATCAAAATACCAGAGACGATAACCGTATGTGGCAATAGGGACCACACACGATCGATATAAGAGGCAGCGTTGTTTAGGCGATAGACCTCTAGTAGAGTTCCCGAGCATGCGCATGGCTTGCACGGTGGTAAACGCCTTGGTGGCGTAGTAGCGAACGTGCTCATGGAACGTGAGCCCGCGGTCAAAGTAGAAGCCCAAGTACCTCCAATAGGTCTTAGGTTTCAAAGGTGTGGCGCCGGTATGAGGGGCGTACCCCAAATCCAGCGAGGGATTGTAGGCGTCTCGGCGACGCGAAAAGTGAAACAGCTCGGTCTTGTCGTGTTCAAGAACGAGCGCGAAGGCAACAAAGAGAAGGTAGATAATTTTGTAGGCCTTACGCAGGCCCACATTATTATCATCAAGTTGTTTCGATTGGGCCAGAATGGTCCCATCATCCACAAAAGACAGCAGCGTCATGTTGAGTGGCGCCGCTTTGATGTAAAAGAGCTTCATTACCGGAGCAATGAACAGCCCAGAGATAACAGGCGAGAGAGCTGAGCCCTGCCCGACACCCACGGGTGGCGACGTGATACACTGCACACGTTGCCAACTTCTTCAGCATAAGGTGGACGGGGATGAGACCTGCTAGGGCCTCAAGACCGCCTGTAGGGGAGGTGTGGAATGCACCCGTGATCCATAGAGGAGGTGCTGCTGTTTAGGCAAGAGACCTCTGGTAGAGTTTCCGAGCATGCGCATGGCCTACACGGTGGTGAATGCCTTGGTGGCATAGTAGCGAACATGCTCATGGAATGTGAGCCTGCAGTCAAAGTAGAAGCCCAAGTACCTCCAATAGGTCTTGGCTTCCTTAGTTTTGATCAACAATTTATATAGTGGTGCTCGATGGCAGCCCGCTCGCTATCTACAAACATGTACGCTACGCGGCCTGGTACTAAGTAAACTACTAAAAGACATCCGCCCCCCCAACCACGAGCCTTATGGCTCAAACGCCTAAACTCCCATAAAGCCAGACCCACCTCGCGAAAACGGTGACACAGGATAAGGGGAGGAGACCATTGAGGCCCCGCTAAACCCCAGAGCCGTCGGACACTGTTCGGAGGCCACGCAGCGCAAATTAGATAAGAAGAGCACCACCCGGGAGGTGGCAGGGTGTCTTGAGGCCGACAAGCCAGAGAAGCGCCTGCCCGAGACCAGACGCAGAAAGTTAGCGGCACCACAGTCCGCTATAATAGCGGCCACAAGCGCAAAGAAGCGAGGCTGGTGCAGGTCTTCGAGCCCTAGGGTTCAGTGGTGTCAATTCACCATAAATCCCCCAAAAGGAGGAACAACCCCGCCCACAACGATTATCCGACCCCCGAAGGGTCTCGGTTGAAGCCAAACGCCGTGGGGTTGTACTTCATAAAAGATGCAATATCCCCAAGAAAGCGGGGGTAATGCACGGAGTAGCGATCGTGACAGCGAAAGAGGATGTGCTGGCGAGACTGCAGAGCAGCCCTGCAAGTGCAGCCATGAGGCTCATTGATCTTGAAGTGACAGTAATATGCTCCAATGGGCGTGTGGCCAGTTATACACCAGCAAACGTGAGCAAACTCAGTAATACTGTGTCCAAAAGTTGAAAGCCAAGGTCCTCCATTGAGGTACGATGGCTGTAGCGGCCGCCTGTTACAGTACTTAGTGGTCCCCCACGGAGTCCACTGGAGTTGGCATATTATCCAGTGGAGTCCAGTGGAGTCCAGTGGAGTTATACTGGAGTTCAGTGGACTCCAGTATATGTCCTCACTGGAGTGTGGTACTGGAGTCTTACTGGAGTCTTACTGGACTCCACTGGACTCCACTATATGTCCTTACTGGAGTCTACTAGAGTATCATACAGAGTATAGTACTGGTGTATGCCACTGAACTCCACTGGAGTGCCACTGAAATCCACTGGACTCCACTGGAGTAATGTTACATGGGTCCACCTAAAGGAGCTGCTCAAGGACAAACACGTCCTTGCGCTCTTCCTTGTGTTGGCTAATGCGTACCTTCAGGTGGGTCATTGGCCACGTATATTCAAGGAGTCGCTATCGGTTATCGTTCCGAAACCGAATAAGCCCTCCTACGCTGTACCGAAGGCCTTCAGGCTGATCGTATTCCTCATCACTTTCGGTAAACTTATCGAAAAGATGATTGCCAATAGGATACAGTTTGACGCTGTCAAGCATGATATCTTCCATCTCAACCAACTTGGCGGTATCCGCCAGAGGTCTACCGAAGATGCTGGATTGATTCTGACTCATCTTGTGCGAGCGGGGTGGGTTAAGGGTCTCCAGACTAGCGCGCTGGCTTTTGACATCGCGCAGTTCTTCCCTTCTATCAACCATGAAATGTTCATGGCTGTACTTCGCAAGCAAGGGTTCTTGCCAGTTCTGGTGGAGTTCTTTGCCTCCTATCTTGTTGGTCGTTCCACAGTTTACTGCTGGAATACCTTCCAGTCCGACTCGCGGTCTGCGGACGTGGGTGTCGGGCAGGGCTCTGCTCTCTCGCCTGTTATCTCTGGGCTGTTCATTGCTCTGGTAATGAAGCTCTTCTACATCAAAGCAGCCCACTCAACACGATGCTGCTTTCCTTTGTGGATGATGGGACCATTCTGGCCCAGTCCAAACAACTTGATGATAATAATGTGGGCCTGCGTAAGGCCTACAAGATTATCTACCTGCTCTTTGTTGCTTTCGCGCTCGTCCTTGAACACGACAAGACCGAGTTGTTCCACTTTTCGCGTCGACGAGATGCCTACAATCCCTCGCTGGATCTGGGGTATGCCCCACATACAGGCGCTACACCTTTGAAGCCCAAGACCTTTTGGAGGTACTTGGGCTTCTACTTTGACCGCGGGCTCACATTCCGTGAGCACGTACGCTACTATGCCACCAAGGCGTTTACCACCGTGCAGGCCATGCGCATGCTCGGAAACTCTACTAGAGGTCTCTCGCCTAAACAGCGTCGCCTCTTATATCGGTCGTGTGTGGTGCCTATTGCCACATACAGCTATCGTCTCTGGTATTTTGATGGTGCCCGTAACAAGGGTGCGATGAACCAGCTGAAACGGATGCAGCGAAAAGCTGCTCTATGGATTACTGGTGCTTTCCGCACCTCCCCCACCGGTGGTCTTGAGGCTCTAGCGGGTCTCATCCCTGTCCACCTTATGCTGAAGAAGCTGGCAACGCGCGCAGTGTACCGCGTAGCCACCCTCTCGGACACCCACCCTCTTTGCTCTATGATGGGCGAGGGACTCCTCAAGCGAGCCACACCACATGCTCGCTCTGCCGCCTTGATGACCCCAGCCATGCGAGGGAAAGTCAAGAGCACTGTCATGGAGGTGGACGAGCGTGTCCACACCTTAACTGAGAGCTTTGAGCCCTTTGCGCCCGAAGCTCGCCCAGGTGATCGGTTACTGGACTGCTATGCGGACCGTCTCCATTTTGACGAGCACGATCCTGGCCAGGATAGGCGCCCATATCTAGACGAGCTCATCGCGAGAGCGAGGGCCGACCCACTAACAGTGCTGGCTGCGACTGACGGCTCCGTCCCTCAGTCCAACCAGTATCAGGCGGCTTCGGCTGCCATAATCTACAAGGGACATCGCGAGCTCAAGAGGACTCGCTATGTCTCTGGCAGAGTTACTGCCCCAGATGCGGAACTCAATGCCATCTCATGTGCAGTGCGCCTTGCTGTCAAGCAGGCAAACTGCCAACATATTATGGTCTTTACTGACTCTATGGGCTCAGCCCATAGAGCGGTTGACCCCGGCGTGCATTCTGGTCAGGCTTTTAGCCTGTCAGTTTGTCGCGCTCTTCAAGAGTGGTTTGAGGCAGATGATTTCCGCCGCATTACCTTCGTCTACGTCCCATCCACTTTCCAAGATCCAACCTACCGAGGCTCTGAATTCCTAGAACTTCAACAGCCTGACGGGCGGCCGCTACAGCCATCGTACCTCAATGGGGGACCTTGGCTTTCAACCTTCGGACACAGTATCACTGAGTTTGCTCGCGTTTGCTGGTGTATAACTGGCCACACGCCCATTGGAGTGTATTATCGTCGCTTCAAGATCAATGAGCCTCATGGCTGCACTTGCGGGGCTGCTTTGCAGTCTCGCCAGCACGTCCTCGTTCACTGTCGCGATTGCTACTCCATGCATTACCCCCGCTTTCTTGGGGATATTGCGTCTTTCATGAAGTACAACCCTACGGCGTTTGGCTTCACCCAGGACCCTTTGGGTGTCCGATAATCGTTGTGGGCGGGGTGGTTCCTCCCTTCGGGGGATTTATGGTGAATCAACACCACCGAACTCTAGGGTTCGAAGACCTGCGCCTGCGGCAACTCTTTTGCGCTTGCAGCCCACTTTATAGCGGGTTGCGGCGCTGCTAACTCTCTGTGTCTGGTTTCGGGCAGGCGCATTTCTGGCTTGTCGGCCTCAAGACACCCTGCCACCTCCCGGGTGGTGCTCTTCTTATCTAATTTGCGCTGCGTGGCCTCCGAACAGCGTCCGACGGCTCTGGGGTTTAGCGGGGCCTCGATGGGCTCTTCCCCTTATCCCGAGTCACTGTTTTTGCGAGGTGGGTCTGGCTTTGTGCGAGCTCCGGCATTTGAGTGCAAGGCTCGTGGTTGGGGGGGCAGACGTCTTTTAGTAGTTTACTTAGTACCCAGGCTGCGTAGTGTACATGTTTGTAGGTAGCAAGCGGGCTGCCATCGAGCACCGCTATATAAATTGTTGATAAAAAAAAAAAAAAGAAAAGAATCAGATGAATCATCATTTGTACGACTTATCATCCTAGGCTTGGGGTGACAAGAAGGAGCTGTAGATGCTCCAGAACGCTCAAGAATGGCCTCAACACTATAAAGGAATGATTAGTTTGATAAAGAATATAAAGAAAGCACTTACGGTGGGAGCTTAGCTGGATCCTCAGCAGCTTCGACCTCAATGTTCTTGTCTTCAGAGGTACGTCTACAATCTGGTCAATAAAAGTATCATTAGAGAATGGAGAAACCATACCTAGATGCTTTCAAGACCTGACCATAAGACCTAAAGTCTATTAGATATAAGTTGAAATTAAAATATAAATGCTACTTACTCAGGGTTTGGAGCTTTGGAGACAGGTTTAGCAGAGACTTTGGACCTCAGACCAGCAGAGGTGGCAGCAGTCTTGGGCTTGATCTTCTGGGAACTTGGCTCCTCTAATAATAGAACAAATAAAAAGGAATAACAAGAAATATTACAAATTGAACTTACGATATCCTCCAAGGTCATTCTCATTGTCCTCCTCATCATCATCCTCATAGATGACCATCACCTTCTTCTTCTTAGCTGGGGTCTCTTCTTCATCATAGTAGTCATCCTCCTCCTCATCAAGCTCAACGTTGTCCATCAACTGTTCCATCTCCTGGTCAGAGTCATCCAAGGTTGGCCGGCTACGCTTAGGATCATGCTGTCCAGGAGGGGACTCGGAAGCATCACACTTGGTGGCAGTGAATGGTTCAGGTGTACGAGCCATGGTTGAATTGTATCTTCAAATAATAAATACAAGTTAGCTTTGGACTTAGAATAAATTTCACACAAGTTTTTTTCCGTCAAAAAAACACACAAGTTTTTTTTTGGCCAAAAAAAAATTGTATTATTGTCTATCTACAAAATGTATATGCTTACTTAAACTAAACACAGAGGGCAATTGTCATTATACATGTTGGGGAAGAGGGGGGCAAGGTGTGGCACACAGTTCAGGTCCAGGTCCAGGCGGTTGAGGGGGCGCGATGCGGGGTGTTGGGGGAGTGGGGTTGGGTACAAGAGAAGGGGAGGGCAGAGGGATGGATGGGGCAACAGTCAGCATGCAGTTTTGGGATGGCTGGGGGGTGTGGGGCTTACCTGTGGGTTGGGGGCATCCGTGCACGTCATTGGCAGACATGGGCGTTGGGTGCAGAGTGGGGTGGCAACAGCGGTGTTGTCGCAGGTAAGGGGTCGGTGCGCATTCAGTGGTGAACATGTGTGTTGAGGGCAGCATCGGGCAGCGGCAGCGGCATTGTCATGGGTAAGGAGGTTGGCACATGTTTGGTGGTGGACGTGTGCGTTGGGCAGCGTTGTCGTGGGTCGGTGGTCCATACATGTTCGGTGGTGGACGTGTGCATTGGGCGCGGTGTGGGGCGTGGACGTCGTGGATGTTGTTGGCAGACGTGGGTGGGTGCACATTCGGTGGTGGACGGAGGCGCCAGCAGGCGGCTTCGGCTGCCATCGTCTACAAGGGACATCGTGAGCTCGAAAGGACTCGCTATGTCTCTGGCAGAGTTACCGCCCCAGATGCAGAACTCAATGCCATCTCGTGCGCAGTACGCCTTGCTGTCAAGCAGGCAAATTGCCAACATATTATGGTCTTTACTGACTCTATGGGCTCAGCCCATAGAGCAGTTGACCCCGGCGTGCATTCTGGCCAGGCTTTTAGCCTGTCAGTTTGTCGCGCTCTTCAAGAGTGGTTTGAGGCAGATGATTTCCGCCGCATTACCTTCGTTTACGTTCCATCCGCTTTGCGGTGGGACATCCATGGTGAAGCACACAAGTACGTCACCGAACTCAAAGTCAGGGTTGGAGGTTGTAAGACAGACAACTCTATAGACGCGCTACGCTCCCGAGCCACGCACTCAGTCCTGGATTCGTGGAATTCCACTTTCCAGGATCCAACCTACCGAGGCTCTGAATTCCTAGAGCTTCAACAGCCTGACGGGCGGCCGCTACAGCCATTGTACCTCAATGGGGGACCTTGGCTTTCAACTTTCGGACACAGTATCACTGAGTTCGCTCGCGTTTGCTGGTGTATAACTGGCCACATGCCCATTGGAGCGTATTACCGTCACTTCAAGATCAATGAGCCTCATGGCTGCACTTGCGGGGCTGCTTTGCAGTCTCGCCAGCACGTCCTCGTTCGCTGTCGCGATTGCTACTCCGTGCATTACCCCCGCTTTCTTGGGGATATTGCGTCTTTTATGAAGTACAACCCTACAGCGTTTGGCTTCACCCAGGACCCTTCGGGGGTCGGATAATTGTTGTGGGCGGGGTTGTTCCTCCTTTTGGGGGATTTATGGTGAGCTAACACCACCGAGCTCTAGGGCTCGAAGACCTGTGTCCGTCGCAATTCTATCGTGTAGGCGATCAACTCTCTTGGTCGATTGCGGCACTGCTAACTTTCTGCGTCTGGTCTCGGGCAGGCGCATCTCTGGCTTGTCAGCCTCAAGACACCCTGCCACCTCCCGGGTGGTGCGATTCTTATCTCATTTGCGCTGCGTGGCCTCCGAACAGCGTCCGACGGCTCTGGGGTTTAGCGGGGCCTCGATGGTCTCCTCCCCTTATCCCGTGTCACCGTTTTCGCGAGGTGGGTCTGGCTTTATGGGAGTTTAGGCGTTTGAGCCATAAGGCTCGTGGTTGGGGGGGCGGACGTCTTTTAGTAGTTTACTTAGTACCCAGGCCGCGTAGTGTACGTGTTTGTAGATAGCGAGCGGCCTGCCATCGAGCACCACTATATAAATTGTTGATCAAAAAAAAACAAAAAAGATGGAGGCGCCAGCATTGGCAAGGTGGTCCGTGCACAATTGGGGCACGACGAGCGGTGAGAGCAGGGTGGGGGCACCGGCGTTCGCGTTGGCAAGGTGGTCCGTGCATGGGTGGGGCACGACGAGCGGCGAGAGCAGGGTGGGGGCGCCGGCGTTCACATTGGTGAGGTGGTCCGTGCACGGTTGACGGCGGACGTGGCGATTCGCCGTCATCATCGTCATCATCATCATTGTTGTTATTGTTGTTGTTGTCATCGTTGTTGTCGTCACGTTCGGATTCGTGTTCAGTTCGTGTTCGTGTTCGTGTTCATGTTCATGTTCGTGTTCATGTTCGTGTTTATGTTCAGGTTCGGTGTTGTTGTTGTTGTTGTTGTTGTTGTTGTTGGCATTGGCATGGGGCAGGAGTGAAGGGGAGGGGGCGGGGCCTGGGAGTTCTTTATGGTCCCCCACGTATCCCTATAGGACTCCACTGGACTCCACTGGACTCTGGTAGGAAATATATTAGCAGGAACACCAGCGAACAGTGCCTACTGGAGTCCACTGGAGTCACCACCCAAAGTCTACTGGAGTTCACTGGAGTGTACCGGAGTGGAGTGTCCATCATCCACTGGACTCCTATAGAACTCCGGTGGACTCCAGTGAACCCGCACAGAAAACTCGACTGGAGTCCTTTTTTTTTTTTTTTTTTGATCAACAATTTATATAGCGGTGCTCGATGGCAGCCCGCTTGCTACCTACAAACATGTACACTACGCAGCCTGGGTACTAAGTAAACTACTAAAAGACGTCTGCCCCCCCAACCACGAGCCTTGCACTCAAATGCCTAAACTACCCATAA